ACATTTGGAAGTTATACTCAAATATGATTTGGGGTGATTTAGACAAACCTCCAAGTACAAATGTTATTATCCACCATATTCGTCTCTTCTCTCAGGACTGGTCAGCTACTTTTAGGAAAATGAAGACGAATACTGGTTATTCAATTTTACGGGAGGAAGGCTTAATCCCTAGAAATTTCTGGTTTGATAGACCTAAGATTATAATTGTGAGATGGAGCTTACCAGAGGGTCTGAAGCTCAATATTGATGCTTCTGTCTCCTCCAAAAACTCTGCTGGAGGTGCGGTGATGAGATCTCAAACAGGGCAGCTGGTTTTCGCTCTTCACTTCCCTGTTTTGGCGAAAACTGTAGCTGAGGCGGAAATGGAAGCTCTTCATACTTCGGTCTCTTGGGCGGTTGAAAAGGGATTCAGAGCTTTTGTGACGGAGACTGATTCACTTACTGTGACTGATGCTATTCATGGAAATGGTTTGGTTGGTGTTTGGAGATGCCTGGCGCAGGATTTTGGGAAATGGAAAGAGGAATTCGATATTGAATTCAGACATGTGTTGAGGGAAGCTAATAGATCGGCTCACTTTATGTCCAGGTGCTTTCCCGCCGTTGACTCGTTTAAGACTTTCTATTTAGCTTCTGATCTCCCCGGTCCGGTTCGTACAGCTTTAACGGCTGATAGATTGGGTCTTTGTTATTTCAGATATTATTTATAATGCTTCTTCTTAATTGTACTTTTCATAGGGTATTTTGTGTTAAGTTTATGTCTCCCTAAAATACCTTTATTTTCGTTTCTTTTTGTTGTTTCATTGAACTGTATTTTGTGAAGGTATGCCTTTCTTGGAGAGGTTTTGGTTTGGTCCCCCTCTTCTTTTTTGTATTAGCTCATTATTTCTAATAAAATCTGGTAAATGTTCCCCGGCATTTACCCCACCGATTTTGGTGGTTGACCGACCGGGATAAAAAAAAAAAAAAAAAAAAAAAAAAAAAAAAAATACAAAGAGACCAGACATTTACCAGACCAGACCAGTTCAAACCAGACCAGACTAGATCAGACCAGGCCAGACCAAACCAACAAATTTCAGTCCAAAAGAAAACATCCTAAGTGTAGGTGCACTCATGACTGATTTCTCTCTTTAGATATTTAACTAGGGTTGAACACGGATCAAACATTTTTCGTTTCGTACCGAAAATCGTACCGAATTGTACTAGAACTAAATGAATTGGACAAATATAATATTATACCGCATTGTACCATATTTTTTAAATAATATGATACAATACCGGTTCTTAAGTGAGAACTACCCATGCCAGAATTGTATCAAAACCATATTGATCGAACTATCTCATATCATCCTTAAAAATTGATCAAACAAAATAAGAAGTAATAGGAAAAATTGAAAATAATAATCCCAACTATTTCCGGTCCGCTGAAAATAATCCCAACTATTGATTATTTTTGTATAATCCCAACTATATAGACTGTCCGCCAATAATGGTCCATGACCAAATATTACCTCTATAAAAAGTGAATTTTAAATATAAATTAAGCGTAAAAATTAAAAGTTGAGATTTTATATAGGGATTACTTGTTATATCTCATCTCATCCACTTTAGAAACTACAAGAATTTATTCATATGGACCATTATTGGCGGAAGGTCCCTAAAGTTGGGATTATTCTGGATTAATCAATAGTTGGGATTATTATGACCGGACCACCAATAGTTGGGATTATTACTATCAATTTTTCCGAAGTAATATGTACTTCGTATATTTTACATTAGCCAATAATCTACATTGTGTTACTCAAAGTTTTGGTATATACCGATAATGCACACTATTTGGACCCCCAATACAATTATTAAGCGTACAAAAATTTATAAATAATACTCCCTCCGTCTCTAATAATTTTGCCAAGTTTAACCGGTACGAGGATTAATAAAGTAAAAATTGTGTGGTTGAGGTTTGTGCAGAGGAGAGAGAATTAACTGGAACCACAAATTTTTACTTTAATGGGAGAGTGACAAAGTTAATAGGATATCCAAAAAAGGAAAATTTGACAAAGTTATAAGGGACGGAGGGAAACGGGAAGTACGTACTAGTGATAACTATGATAGGCAACATGTAAACTACTTTAGTTACTTTGTCAGCAGCTTTGGGCTTTGGCTGGTTGAATCCTGCCGAAGACTAGAACTAGATAATTTTATTAAAAGTGGACTATTAATTTTGTACATATAATTAATTATTAAAGAGAGCTGTTAATATAAAAATTGGTATTACCGCAGGTCATTAAAGTGGACTGCCAACTCAGAAGGAGAAAATAACACAAGCTGTTGTAACGTACGGACCCTAATTTCATGTATGACTCGTCGGATCCATGAAACGGCTAGAATTCGTCCTAGTCTAGTTATTTTAAAGGGAAAGTTCATGAAATGGGACAAAAACGTATATAAATTCCAAAATAGGACTGTTATGTTTTTATTCCCAAAATAAGAGTAATTACTGTGAAGTTTGGAAAATACTGCCATGTTTAAAGTCTGGTACTGCCAAAACATGACAGTAATTAGTCCCATTTTGGGAATTAAAAACATGATAGTCCCATTTTGGAATTTATAAACGTTTTTAGTCCTATTTAGGGCAAATTCTCTATTTTTTAAAGTAGATTCTATGGTATTCAAAATATACCATACCTTTATCCACATGGACCAATGAGAATGTAGCTGTTGAATTATTTAAATTTAAATTAAAATGATAATGTGATGTGGTCCAATCACATGAATGATGTAGAATAGGACTAAAATTAAGTTTGTGTAGGATTCACTGCTTTTAATCCGTAAATAGGACTCATTTAGTGTGGTCAGACTTATTTACCCCGCTCATATCTCTTCCTCCTATCACGATAGTCCTCCTCTTCTGACAACCTTTTTCTACGCCAATCTATCTTCCTCCTCCCAACGAAGCAGAGGAGTGAAGCGGAAAAAATAGAATAGGAGGGCTGTGGCGCTGCAGCTTTGAAAATTAAGAACACAGATTAACTGAGTAGCAGTAAAGAGAAGACCCCCTGTCGCCGGTCATCACAACGGAATAGGTACGGTGGCGTGGTAATCTGTAATCAATCCTTCTATCAGTTCGGTGCATCTGGGATTGATCGGAGCTACTCAATTTATTTTCCTACTTTCCTTGTGCACCTTTCTTCGTGGATCTGCAATCGATCCTACCTGTGTCCTTACTTTCTTTTGATATTTCTATTCTCTTCATGCCACAACCGTTTTCTTTGTTTTTACTTTCCCTAGTTTTGCATTTGATTTGTATTTGATTAACACCATCAAATTTGGAATAGACAATACAGTAGTTGTACGATAGTACTTGTATTTCATTTACAAAATTTACTCACACTTGTATTTCATGCACTAGTACTATTTGATGAAATGCCTACATGAAAATTGTCCCTGTTTTGCATTTTTTAGTTGAGAAGAGTTTTGGGCAGTTTACTTAAATTACATGCGCAGATGGGCTGATTATGTATATACTCAATTAATCGTGTGATTTTATAGTAACATTGACATATTTTCTACGGGGTACCTTTTAATTATGACATTATCACGATAGTGTACCTGTTAACAATGTCATATAGTGACATTATTAACATTTTCAGAATTATTTCTTTTTAACAATGTTTACAATAATGTCACATTGGCATTGTTTTTAACAATGTCATTTTTCTAACATTGGCATTGTCACGATAGTGTCATTGACATTGCCACGACAATGTCATTTTCATTGTTGTCATTATAATGTCATTTTTATAACATTGACATCATCATTATACGGAATTGTGACATTTTTTTGACATTGTGATGCTTTCATACATTTTGACAATATTTGCAAAATTGAGAAATTGTTTATTTTGTTAATGTTTAAGTGGTAATGTTTGACATTGTATGATTTTTCTTGGCATTGTGATTTTTTAGCATTTTGATATTTTTATGACATTGTAACATTCTTTCTTTCTTTTTTACAATACATACGATATTGTGTCATTGACGTTGTTTTTAATAGGAAAAATTGATAGTAATAATCCCAATTATTGGCGGTCCGCTCATAATAATCCCAACTATTTATTATTACAGAATAATCCCAACTTTAGGGACCTTCCGCCAATAATGGTCCCTATGAATAAATTCTTGTAGTTTCTAAAGTGGATGAGATGAGATATAACAAGTAATCCCTATAACTAATCTCTTAATCTTTACGCTTAATTTCTATTTAAAATTCACTTTTTATAGAGGTAATATATGGTCATGGACCATTATTGGCGGATAGTCTATATAGTTGGGATTATACAAAAATAATCAATAGTTGGGATTATTTTCAGCGGACCAGCAATAGTTGGGATTATTGTTTTCAAATTTTCCTTTTTAATACTTTTATTTTTATAGCATTAACACTATGACAATATTATTTTGATTGTTGTCGATATTACAATTGTCATTGTCATGACTATAATGTCACTTTATATAACATTAACATAACCATTATTCGATATTATAACATTTTTCGATATTTCAACATTTTTAGTTCATTTTTAAAATGTGTATAATATTGTCACGATATTATCATTGGTATTGACATTGTCAATGTTGCAATGTCATTTTTATAACATTGACATTAATTTTCAGATCATCATTATTTGACAATGTGACATGTTTATATATGCCCCCATTCCATTTTTCTACAATTTAATATATGGAGTGATATTTATAATATAGTGATATTGTTTCGAAAATGATAGATATCTAACATTTTAAAATTTATTTTTATAACGATAATGTTTTACATTGTGACATATTTGATGACATTGTAAAGTTTTTTGACATTGTATTTTTTGTTTCGATAACAATATTCATTTTTTGACAATGAGATTATACTAGGTTGTCATAATCTATACTTCGTATTTGTTTCTGATGTATAAAAAAAATTATAATCTATATGGTAAAAGAGTGAAATTTATAATTTACGGAGTATAATAAAAAGAGATGGGAAAAAATGTAGAGAACGGAATGTCAAAACAACCAAAACAAAAGAGTAAAATAACAAAGAGTAAAATTGAAGAAGAAAGCAAAAAAATGTCACAAATAGAACTATGCATTGGCAGCTTCACGACAAAGGAGAGCAACGACATTTCTCCAGCAGACTAGCAGTTCACCAGAGGAGTAGCTTTTGCTGACATATGCGTCAATAGTGCCTTAGCTTGAAGAGTTATCCAGCGTTTTAGCAGGGTGCGGTGGCCGGTGATGGACGGCGGTCACCAGCTCCCGACGGCGGATGGCAGCTCCAAGCAGCGGTTGCGGCAGCTCCCAGCGGCGGTCGCCAGCTCCCGATGGCGGATGGCGGCTCCAGGCAGCTGTTGCGTGCGGCAGCTCCCAGCGGTGGTCGCCAGCTCCCGATGGCGGATGGCAGCTCCAGGCAGCGGTTGCGGCAGCTCCCAGCGGTGGTGGCAGATGGATGGATCGATTAATGCATTTGCTAATTGCGGAGTACACCTTCTCCTCTTCTCTTGTAGTGAATCGGGCGCAGGGAGTCGGGGACTCACCTTTTGTACGGAGCTGGAGAGAGAGCTTGTTGCCTAAGCCCACGAAGACTACTCCGTATGAATGCAGGGGTAATTTTGTCCCTTTTGATAAACTTTAGTCCTATTTAGGTTTATAAAAGCAATCGATCCTATTTAGGTGCAAAGGCCATGTTTTAGTCCTATTGGAGACTTTCTCCCATGAATAGTAGGTACGGTACCCCATTTTTTAGAAAGGTATCGGAGTTGTCACCTATTTTAAATATTATGGAGTAGGAATCACTGATGGGGGGTCATCAAAATATTCTTATTTATTGCTATTTCGTTGATCTTTGCATGACACTCAATCAATTTGTTGTTTTCGAACATTTAAATTATATTATATTTACGTAGTTTAGCATAAACAAAATCTATACATACATTAATTATAAGAGTTCATCTAATATTGTAATTAGAAAAAATTGTCAATTTGATCCTTGTACTTTCACGAAAAAGTTAATTAGATCATTGTAATTAAAAAAAGCAATCAAATCTCCAAACTTTGTAAAGACGTTCAATAATTGAGAACATTTAATTTGTAGGTTGCTTGACATGTCAGCAAGTCATTCGCTGAGGTGGCGCACACATGGCAGTCCACATGTGTGCCACATCATCAACAAATAGCTGCCTGGACTCCCCCACATGTGCGCAACGTCAACAAAGTTACTGCTGATTGGGCTACCACATGTGTGTCATGTTAGCGAATGATTTGCTGACATGACAAATGATTTGCAAATGGACCCAATTAAATATTTTTACAAAGTTCGAGAATTTGAACATGTGTGTCACGTTAGCGGGTGATTGTTTTTTTTAAAGTACGACAACCAAAATAACTTTTTCGTTATACTAGAGTAATATTTTCTCATTTCAAGTATGGCATTTCCTTGAAGAGAAAACAATTTATTTGGTTTCCAAGAATTTGCGTTTTCAATTTCGTGTGTAGATATTTCAAGGGATCAAAATGGACCCATATGGAGCTAGCTAGCACTATCCACGTATGGTATACATCCAAAAAGGAACTCGCCACGTGTACCTAACGAGGATGGATATCATGCCACTCACAGGCTTCCGCTCTTTCCCGACTCTTACACGTTGCCTTCAATTCTATCCATCCGAACAAAAAATAGAATCAAAAGTGTGCATATATGGATCCATGTCCGGCCCGGAAAGCAATCTTCATCGGATCATCCATATATAATTCAATTTCGGAATTTTCATTTGAGCCATGCAGTCAACGGGTGAAAGCTGCGAAGGGGCTGCTGATTCGAAGAGGCAGCTGCTGCTAATAGAAAAGAAGGTGGCGGATCTTATAATGCCGCACGACAAGCGAAGAAGACTAGTGGAGGTGCCCTACACCGCAACGCTAGCCGATACCATGAACACTCTTCTGGCCCACAGGGTGGCGGCGGTCCCGGTGGCTGCACCGCCGGGGCAGTGGATCGGTGCCGGCGGAACCATGATTCTCGAGCACGATAAGAGCACCGGCGCCGCCAGGAAGCATTACATAGGGATGGTGACGATGCTTGATGTGCTGGCGCATATTGCGGGCGGTGAAGAAGATCTTGACCTGAAAATGGCGGCTCAAGTCTCTTCCATCATCGGTCATTGCCTTGAAAGTCTCAGCTTGTGGACACTCAACCCTGCTATGAGGTAAAGTAATTCATACATTTGTAGTACGTGCATGGCTAAAGGGCGGCTGGCTGCGCTGGGGATCGAGTCATTGATAGTTTTTCTATTGATCCGTTCTCTTATTGAATTCTCAGTCAAACTAGTATGAACCCTACCCAATTCTGAAAAAGTTATATACACATCAAATATACGATAGTATTTATTAATGAATCCAGGAAAGTCATACTAGTATGATAATCCTCTGGTCTAGAGATGTTTTTACTTGGACTGTAATTTGCTGGTCTAGTCTGGTCTGATTTATTTGTATTTTTATAACTTTCCAAGTCTAGTCTTGGACGAATTAAAGTCCAAGTAAAAACATCCTAGTTCACACTTAATCACAATTAAGTTCTCTTTTTGGAAGTTTATCCCTAAATATCTAAAAAGAAATATTATTTTTTGAATATAAAAGAGCGGCTTTTTATAATAATATAAAAAAATGATCAAAAAAATAAAAAAATAAAATCATACAAAACATAGACAAATAATTATTACAGAGGTGATTCTAAATCCTCAGAATAGACATAAAATCAGTCACCTCATTCGGTAGACACAAAATGGGCAAATTTAAGCCTAACTTAATTCTGCCTCTTGGCACGAAGGTGATTATGGAGGAGAACGAGTTCTACCATTTTCTACACTGCCCAAAAGAAGGCAGCCAGAACTCCCTGACCACACACAATCTTTTGAGATACCAAAATAACACCCCACACGGAGAGACAAAACAACACAGAACATCAATGCCCTGGAAAGAACCGTCATAGCACAGAACAAACACAATCAGAAAAATAGAACAGTCCAATTAGGTCATAGCCCTACCAATAATCTCCCAAAGCTAATGTCACCTAGATCAAGTAATTGAATTGGTTACCTGCTATTTGTCTTCCTGTCTGTACGTATGCTTCCTTCCTACGTATGCTTCCTGTACTCTTTGCCTGTCTCTGAATCATAAGAGAAGAGGCAAGTGGCAAGACACGCTGCCACAAGCCCTAGGGCTCTTCTAAAAGAATACTTATAAAATCTATAATAAATTAATATTTAAATAATACTCCCTTGTTTCAATTTGTTTGACACACTTTGACTTCCAAAGATTTAAGGATTTTTTTTACTGAGGGGTAAATTTTACTGTTTGATATTGTGTGTTTGATATTGTGTGACACTGTTTTGCACCGTTTTGTACAAGGAAATAAAAAAGTGTGACATTCATTTTATGAAATATCCAAAAAAAAGTGTATCAACGAATTTGAATCAATTCCGGAAGTACATGAATTTGAATAAATTCCAAAATAGGACTGTCATGTTTTTATTCTCAAAATAGGAGTAATTACTGTCAAGTTTGTAAAATACTGTCATGTTTAAAATCTGGTACTGCCAAAACATGACAGTAATTAGTCCCATTTTGGGAATTAAAAAAGCAGTCCTATTTTGGAATTTACAAACATGTAAATTGAACTATTATGACCTAATTTACAAACATATCAATTCATGTACTTCAAAAAAGTGTTACATTCATTTCATGTACTTCATTGTATATGTTTTACAATGAAGTACATGAAATCAATTCCGTACGATAAGATAACTTCAAATATGGAGTAAATTAAAAGTGTGTAGTTTGACTAATTTAACTGTGGGGCCTGGTATGAAATTGTCCTGTTAGGTGAATGAATTCAACGTCGAACTAAACATAGTCTTTCGTTTACACGGGAAACATAAAAAAAATAGGAGAATTTACCCTAAATAGGACTAAAAATGTTTGTAAATTCCAAAATAGGACTGCTATGTTTTTAATTCCCAAAATGGGACTAATTACTGTCATGTTTTGGCAGTACCAGATTTTAAACATGACAGTATTTTACAAACTTGGCAGTAATTACTCCTATTTTGAGAATAAAAACATGACATTCCTATTTTGGAATTTACAAACGTTTTTGGTTCCATTCGGGAACTTTCCCAAGAAATAGTCATGGAAAAAGTAGGGGAATTGGCTTTAATAATACTTTGCCTGAACGTTTAGGGGGTGGCTAAATATGGAGAAAAGTTGGGTGGTAAGAAATGGTTTGGAAGATTTGAAATTAGACTGTATTTACATGCATGGATGCACTAATTTTTGGGATATATAGCAGCCTTGTGGACTGTATGGAAGTGTTTAGCAAAGGCATTCACCGCGCCATGGTTCCACTGGAGAGCTTGCAGCAAAGCGAGAGGCTGGCAGGCGTAGAGCTGGTGGAGTCGGCATCAAGCTATGGGATGGTCACCCAAATGGATGTTTTGAAGTTCCTGCGAGAATACAATGGGCAACACCCCGAAGGCGAGCTCAAACACATCATGTCATGCCGCATCAAAGTCGAGGATGCCGCGGCCGTTTTCGGGATTTCCGATGAGTCCACAGTCATGAATGCCATCAAATGCATGAAGGCGGCTTCACTCACCGCCCTGCCCATCCTTCACTCTTCCATAGCCATTCAAGAACATCACTCGCAACTCTTTAATGTAAGATCAATCAGCTCATCACTTCCAATAATTTTATGTCCCGTTGCATAACCTAATTTAATCTAGTGGGACGACAAGCAGGGGAATATGCATACACGTTCAGGCCTGGTCTTCACATTTTATAGACCATGGATAGTGTACATATTTTTGCCCCTATATTATAAAAATCAGTATAGTTAATTTATCTTTTAAGTCCTTGATTGATAAAATTCGTATAAAAATGTATTTAGATTAGCAATCATCATCAAAAAAAATATATTAGCCATCTATAAAAGTTTCAACAAAATACTCTTCTTTCAGTTTATAATACTAATACATGCATCGACCTGCACATCGTGTAGATATACTCATTTTGTACTAGAGTTATATTACGGAAAATATTTATGATTAATCTTATGAAAAGTAAAGATTTCTTCATATAATTCTCTTTTATCCTTCAGATCCTCTTTTTATCCCGAGAAAAATAACCTTTTAATTGTTGTTTTTAGCATGGAGAACAATTTGTTTGTTTTTCATTCTAAGTTTTCTTTATGTGTGTTCTAATATAAATTAAGTAGTACGAGTGATTTGTTTTTTAACTAACAATAAAACAACAACTAACACTTCAGCCTTGATTCTAAAATGATTATGGATCGGTTAACATAAATCAACATACAAAATCAGAGCAAAAAAGATAAAAACAGAAAAGTGTCAAATATGCCATCGAACTTACATAAAAAGGTCAAATAAGCCCTTGGCTTATTCGGGGCAGTTCCCGGTGGAATTTTTTGATGAATTTTTTGAGCATCTTATTCATTAAGTCTAGTCTACTCATACCAAATTTCAGCTAACTGCAATAGATAATTCAATTGGGAAGGCATTCAAATGAATTTTCTTGAAAATAACTGCGCTTTTAACTCGTGGTTAAAAACATAAAAGAGAAAAGGGTCAAATAAGTCCACTATAAATATAAATAAAGGCATTTAAAAATTGGGGTACCGTACCTACCATGCATTTGATTGGCCCAAATCTTTCTATTCCTTTTAATTTAGATTTAATTAATTCAACTGCATCATTCCTATTGGTCCATGTGGACAAAGGTATAGTACATTTGTTGGGCACTAGCGGAAATGCAGTGAAAACTATAGGATTAACACAACAAATATTTGATCACTCAATTTATAAATATGCACAGACAGAACAATGCCTTATACTTTTGGCTATTGTTTACTCTCTCACACAGCACACACTCTTATTTTTCTTCTGTGTATGCCCTCTCTTGCTGCACTTGTTTTGCATCTTACGTACACACACACATATATATATTCACATACATTGGTACAAGGATATGATGGCTATCTACCAAATTTAATGCACCTTTGTCATTTTGTTTCTTTTCTTCTTCCTTACTGTTGAGCTTTGCATTATTTGATCAATAATGATAAACTCATAAACTCCTGTGCTTCTTTTGGAATGATTAGCCATGTTTTATTTTATTTTACAAATGCAAATTAGGACTTTCAACACTCCCTCTTAATTTGCAATTTGTAAGGATGTCTGCTGGCTGATCATTGGTGTTAATGAATTTCACTAACAAGATCTTGTAATAAATGATGACGCAAGAAGTGATGATGCAACTCGATGTGTTTCGATCTCGCATGAAACACTGGATTTTTGGTCATGGCTATGGCTGACATGTTGTCACAGTGAATAACAGTTGGACTATTTTCACTTTGATGTAAATCATTAATTAATCTTCTTAACCATACCGCTTCGCATGCTGCATTTGTATTTGCGATACATTCTCCTTCCGCGGAGGATGAAGCCACAGTCTTTTGCTTCTTTGAACTCTAGGAAATAGGTTTTGAACCTAGGAAGAATATATATCCTGATGTGCTCTTCTCTTCCGATCATCTAGTGATCCCGCCCAGTCACTATCAGTAAAACCAGTTAACTTGGTTTCATCTTCTTTCTTGTACTTCAGACCCAATTTCTTCATGCCTTTGAAGATATCGTAAGATTCTTTTGGCTGCTGCAAAATGAATTTTGATAGAAGACTTACTGAATGACAAATATCTAGCCTGGTGTGAGTAAGGTAAATGAGTGACCCAATAAGACTTCTATACAGTTTTACGTCAACTTTTTCAGCTCCATCATTGTGCTGCAGCTCCATCATTGTCGCCATTGGTGTTGCTACCGGTTTGCATGATGACATGTGAAATCTTTTCAACATATCGTCAACATACTTCTCCAGGTGCCTGCACCTGCTTCACTTGGATCCCAAGAAAATATTTCATGAGCCCCAAATCCGACATCTCAAACTCTTTCATCATCGTCCTTTTGAAATCTTGAATCATCAACAAACTTGTGCCTGTATAAATCAAATCATCAACATACAAACACACCATGAGAAAATCTTTGGTTTCTCCCTTTTTATGTAGAGAGAAGCGTATGTAGAGAGATGCTTCGCTTGGACTTCTTTGAAATCCATTTTGCTGAAAATATCAATCGATTCTGCTGTTCCAGGCTCTTGGTGCTTGTTTGAGCCCGTAAAGCGCCTTTGGAAGACGATAGACATTGTCTTCTTCTCCTTTCTTCTCATAGCCCTATGGTTGGTACACAAACACCTCTTCCTCGAGTTCTCCATTCAGGAATGCTGATTTAACATCTAGCTGGAATACTGGTAACTCAGTTGAGCTGCTAGAGCGAGAACTTTCCAGGGAGAGGAAGAGGAACTTAGTTAGTAGCAAAAATTCCGATGACTTCCAACAAAATTTTCTCTCTTGCAATGTCAAAAAATGGAGAAGTAGCATTCTGATACCAAATTTGTTGGGCACTAGCGAAAATGTAGTGAAAACTATAGGATTAACACAACAAATATTTGATCACTCAATTGATAAATATGCACAGACAGAACAATGCCTTATATTTTTGGCTATTGTTTACTCTCTCACACAGCACACACTCTTATTTTTCTTCTGTGTATGCCCTCTCTTGCTGCACTTGTTTTGCATCTTATACACACACACACACACATATTCACATACATTGGTACAAGGATATGATGGCTATCTACCAAATTTAATGCACCTTTGTAATTTTGTTTCTTTTCTTCTTCCTTACTGTTGAGCTTTGCATTATTTGATCAATAATGATAAACTTCTGTGCTTCTTTTGGAATGATTAGCCATGTTTTATTTTATTTTAAAAATGCAAATTAGGACTTCCAACAACCTTAAGGGTACCATAGAATCTACCTCGTAAAAAAGCTTAAAAACTCATGGTTTGCGCCCTCGCCTACCCTCGCATAAGGTTTCTGACCCTTCAAGCGCGCGAATAGTTTTTTTGCTCATCCGGCTTATGGCTGTGTGTGAGGGTGAAGCAACGCCGGCTGACAACGATACCCATGGACGACTTGGAGAAGGAGTACTGATGAGTGGGATTGGAAGAGGAGAGAGGAGGGCCCACATTCGGTGTAAGAAGGAATGAGGTGTGCGGAGAGGCCGGCGTTGACCAAATAGCTGTTCAATTGGAGGAAAAGGAATGACAGGACGTGGATATGAAAGGAGTATGACCAAATAATGTTTGAAAGAGAGGAAGATGGCATGCAGGCAATGGCGCTAGGGGAGAGGACTCACACTAGCTTTCCTGTGGTTGGCACCCAATTACAAGAAAATGCATGGTTTTAAACGATTAAAAAATGAAATGGAGTCGAGTAGCGGGTGATGGATATCAGGTCCGCCTAGATTTTTGAAGATTTTCTTGATTTTTAGCAATTTCAACCTCCTCATGGTTCTAGAGTTGTCCATGGATTCTAGTAGTTTTTTTTATTCAGAAATCATTCTATTTGTGTTTTCTCTAGTTTTGAGTAGTACTTTCACATTAGGATGGATGGTAAGAAGTCATTTTCATTATCTTTTGGCTCATTGGTGTTCAGTTTATTAAGATCAATGAGTTATATAGAATTGAAGTGAACTGCTCTTATTCTCATAAAATAGATTGGATCAATATGTAGGGTAGGCAGAGAGGAAGGTGATGTATCGCCATGACGTGCACTTTGTCGTGGTGTGCACTCAAAATAAATACAATACAACAAATATACGTAGTATATTGAAGTAAGGTTCGTATCCACAGGGAAAGGAATATTTCTCTTTTTAATTAACTAGTAACAAAGGGGGGGTTTTAGATTTGATTTGATTTAATTAACACTAAGATGAATGACTTAAATGAGTTTAATTAATGAGAAGAAGACTTGGCTTTGCTTTTATCCACTTAATGAAATGTTCGTCGATCCCGGTTATATCTTTAACTATCTTCCTCTCGAATACTCAATCGAGGAGTATATCCAGTTCATCGAGGGTAGTTATTAATAACGAGAAGCGTTCATTAATAAAACTTACTATCGAGTCAATATAGAACAAGCGCCGTATATTAAATTGATAGTAGCAATAAACTTAAGATGAAAACGATTGAGATTGATAACCTCAACACAAGCGGTTTATTGGTTTAATCAATATAATTAATTCCCCTTAGATTATTAACCATGAGATGCATGCATTAATAATCCAAGTTTACTACCATGAAAGGACCGAATTAATAACAAGCGTATTAATCGACCGATTCTAGTATTAATTAATATATGAAACAAAACTAGTTGATCCTTTAAGTAATGTTCAAAATATTAATATGAAATATAAATAGGAATTAATTAATACTCAAGAAAGAATATTAAAGAAGATGAATCCTACTATAGTTAATATCAAGATGTTAACTAATTGTCATCTTAGTAACACTCCCCAATATCAACGTAGAGGAAGAAATAATTATTACTATAACTAATGTCAAGATGTTAACTAATTGTCATCTTAGTAACACTCCCCAACATTGATATAGAAATAGTATTTAAAGGAAAAATTAATATTCAAGGAAGAAGATTAAAGAGAATAACTCACAACTTACAAATTCATTAAGCTTCAAAGTAGCAAAACCAAGATGGAAGAGTTTAGCTCCTCATTTGGAGAC